CCCATTTTCCATTGTTATATATATATATATATATATAAACATACATGATTGTTTTGCGGACAGATAATTAGATCTTTTGATGGGTATTTAAATAATATGACATATAATAGATTTTAGATGTCAAATCGGACTGGACAAGTCAAAGAGCCGAAGAGCCTCCACGACCACGAGGTCAAATTTTCTTGCAACAAAGTCAAGAAGGCCGACTCCAAAGTTTCACAAAAAGGAATAATAATAATAATAATAATAATAAAATGATATAAATGTGGCACGATTTACATGGAGGTTAGGGTTGCATTGCATCACCATTTCGTGACTGTCCTCGTGGGTCTCCAACTTGTTTGAGTATCCATCAAGATATAAACTAAAAAAGCCACTACATTATTATTAATATTTACAAAAATATAATTCTCTTGCACAATTCCACGATGTCAAAGAAACTCAAATCTCGGAATCCAACCCGATTTCACCTGGAAAATTAGATTTAGATCTGTTAAAATTTTGGATTTTGAAAATGTCGAACCAAAGATCAAATGAAAGTGGGATCTTTGATTTCCGGTGACTAACCCTTATCCCACTGAAACCAATCCGTAAATCACATTATTAGCTCATCTATCGAGTTTTTTTTGAATAATTAGAAGGTTAATAGAATTTCGGCCCAACTAGTATTCTTGAATCTAAAGGTAATCTTTAGTGCAATTAAATTGCATCCTCCCCTACAACTATTGATATCTGAAAAGAGAATCTCTAAAAGAGATGAGATCCTAATCACACTCTACAATCAAAATTATAACACCACTACGAAATTAGATAATTTCGTCTCATCTTTACAATTTGGTTGAAAAATATATAATAATAATGATTATAGAATTTTTCATTTTATGGATTCATATTTTTGTAGATATCCCTATCTCGAAGATGAAAATCGAATATCCCAAGTATATAAAACTGAAATCAAATATGTCTAAAAACGGGTACGGTCGGTCCGTCCTCGCACCGTGAAACAGTGACGCAGGCATCAATTCTATATGCTCAGTGGGCAAAAATATTGATATATAATATTGTAGAAATTGAAATTGGGAGAATACGAATAAAAGAATATAGTAAAAGAATGCCCACTTGTGCACAAGTGCGGAGACAGGGGAGGCTAATAGTAGACCGAGTCAGAATTTACGTTACTCAGTTTGAGTCAAAACCACCGAACGCGTTTTTCACACATCTCCTCACTCCCTCTTCCACGTCTCCTTCCTCGCAACTCTTCACTCGCCTCTACATTCACATATATATACATGCACATTCATTCCCCAGACGCCATAGCGAAAACAGGACGAAGACGAATACGAAGACGACGAAGACCCGATACACGAATTCGAAGATTACAACTCGAGTCTCCATTCGTTTCTCCGTTCTAATTAATTGACGAAGATGCTGATTGATTCGGACAGAGATCTCTGCAATTCCGGCACGAAACGGGAACCTAACTCGGTCCTGATCCGTGAGGTTTGGGCGGAGAATCTGGAATCGGAGTTCGAGCTGATCCGAGAGGTGATCGATGACTACCCATTTGTCTCCATGGACACGGAATTTCCCGGCGTGATTTTCAAGGCCGAACCCGCCGTCCTCCGCCGCAACAACCGCCCCTCCGACCTCTACAAGCTCCTCAAGTCCAACGTCGACGAGCTCTGCCTCATCCAAGTGGGTCTCACGCTGTCGGATTCCGACGGGAACCTCCCCGATCTCCGGACCGGAGGCAGGAACCGGTTCATCTGGGAATTCAACTTCAGGGACTTCGACGTGGAGCGTGACGCACACGCGCCGAACTCGATCGAGCTCCTCCGCCGTCAGGGGATCGATTTCGACCGGAACCGCCGGGAAGGCGTAGACTCCGGTCGGTTCGCGGAGCTGATGATGTCGTCGGGTTTGGTCTGCAACGAGGCCGTGACATGGGTAACGTTCCACAGCGCGTACGATTTCGGGTACCTGGTGAAGATTCTCACGCGCCGCCGTCTCCCCAGCGCGTGCGAGGAGTTTCTCCGGCTTCTGAGGGTATTCTTCGGACAGAGAGTGTACGACGTGAAACACATGATGAGGTTCTGCGAGAAGAGACTGTACGGAGGGTTAGACCGGTTAGCCCGGTCGCTGGAGGTGAACCGTGCGGTGGGGAAATGCCATCAGGCCGGTTCGGACAGCTTACTGACGTGGCATGCGTTTCAGAGGATGAGGGATTTGTACTTCGTGGAAGATGGGCCGGAGAAACATGCCGGCGTTTTGTACGGTCTGGAGGTTTTTTGATTGGGGGGATTAAATCTATTGATTAGTTAAATTTGTAGTTCATAATTCACCTGAAAAAAATTAATAATGACGTGAAAATATTCGCAATTTGTTTAGAAAATTGTCCAGCTTTGTACATGGCGGATGCATGAGCCAATACAATACAACTAAATTATTATTATTCAATCTGTTCGATCTTGCATTTTTTTAAAAAACTTTAATTTAGTTAGATATCAGGTATCTAGCCTTATTGGGTACACAGAGACAAATATCCCAACATTCATTTGTACCGGCTTTCACTCTTTTGAGTTCCAATCACTTAAATCATCATCTTATAATATTAAGAGCCTGGTGAGAATCATCGACCGGATTGACATAAAGACGAAGCAATCTCCCCAGAGATTTACCACGGCGGTCATTAGGTGGCCGGAAGCTGGAGCAAACGTCCACGAAAGCACGGACGACGACATTGTGCTGAGGAGGAGGGTTTATGTCCAAGAAACACCTCAGAAGCTCCTTCAGATCATCCTCTGACTCGATATCCCTCTCCTCTATCATTTGCTTCATCGATGCCCTGAAATCCTCAAAAGGGTTGACAGATTCCTTTGCCATGGCCACACTCTCGTCGATCTTCGGGCAGGGACTGCGTAATAGTCTTGGGGAAACCGGAGGTCCTAGGTCGGGACTGGCTTTAGATGAATAGAATGGGGAAGTGGGCGAGTGAAGAGGCGAAAGGGATTTCGGATTATCCATTCTTTTTTTCTCGGGTTTTGGTTCTTGCTTTTGGTTGGGGTTGGAGGTGGAAGTATATTCCGAGCCGGTGCGGGTAGGACCACAGCCACAGCCGCAGATCATCACAGGTGTGAATATGGTCTTCAGTGTATTCTTCTTCTTCAGAGGCATTTTGAGAGAAAGAGAGAGAGAGAGGTAAAACTTGTGCCTTTGGTGTTGGTGTTGGTGGTGGAGGAGGAAGGTTTTTGATAAGAGGGATAGAAATGACTTGGAGAAGCAGCATAGTGTTGCCTTGGCAGATGCACCAACTTGATGAGTTTTTCTTTTTCGCAGATTCATCTTGTTTCCTTTTCAGACAATGGTTTGTCTGATACGGTACATTCAAAGTACTTATCAAGTCATGCCTTAAAACCAACAAAATCCCATGACTTCAATTGTATTCAACACCTTTAGACAAATGTCCTAAACATGCTTTAGAAACAATAGACAAACTTTTAAGCTATAGAGTTTTTTTTCTAGAGATCTAACAATCGATGTAATCCCTCTTTCAGCTAGAGTTTTTTCCTTTAAAAAAAAAACACATTTTAAGACACCGGGAGGAAAACCCTTTTATCCCCCATCCTTCAAGCTAAAAACTACATTACGTTTACTTTAAAAAGGTTCTCTACACAAGCGTTTTTTAGATGATGCAAACACGACACTACTTTTTAGCTAATCTAAGATTTCTTTACAGACATTATAAACAGAGATTTAACAATAAAAAAAACGAGGGTAAGAGTGGGAAACGGGCGCACCTGGCTGCGTCATGATTTCCCACTCCCTCCTCCTCCGCCGGGTAACGTGGATTCTGAAGCTGAGATTCACGTTTAAGGCCCCAAAGCTGCACAAAAGGGTCCAGTTCTATATCCCAGAAAACAGTAAGCCTTATTCTTCGGTCTAATAAGACATTTCTATATATATGCGCCAGCAAGTCTAAAAAAAAAAAAAAAAAAAAAAAAAAAAAAAAAAAGGGGGAAAAAAAAAAAAAAAAAAAAAAAAAAAAAAAAAAAAAAAAAAAAAAAAAAAAAACAAGAAGAGGGGCTTTTATCCTTCCGTTCTGCATATGTGTACCAGCACACAACACATCATACAAAGCTACCTCCTCCTTCATCCAATTCGGTATGGACACACCTCAGGAAGAGAAGAGTTATCCATCTCATCGAACCTCCTAACTATGTACAACACAGGTTTGCATGTTGTGCCAGTGGTTTCACCTACACTGTTGATTTAACGGCGGAACTCTCTGCTTTCGGACTGGATGGAGTTTGCGCCTGCTGAAGCGTTGTGTCTCCTGGCGCAGACTCTTGACCATGAGAGCCGAGCAGATTCGAGTTGACATCGGCTTAGGACAATGTCAAGGAGCTCATAACAAAATATATATTTAACCAAAAATTAAAAAGAAAGAAGTGTGGACAGAGTCAAAGTCGTTGTTAATAAAGGATACGTTCACTCGGCCACCTCTCCGTAATGCTAATATCATCTGCCTCTGATAGTAACCAGTAATCTACATCCACCTGTTAATATGTAATCATGATATTTAAAAATAAAAATGAAAGAAGCTTTACAAAAGAATCAAAGTTCAATAACTTGTTTAGATATCATAACTATTCGTCGATTATTTATTCCCAGCTATGTATTTGTCCTCTTCCGGACGTTTCACAAGCATATCTCAATGGTGGATTCGAAGATATCATAAGGGCATCTGACGAAACTGAAATAAATAAATAAAAAACAAAAAATTCATAAAAAAATTGGAACTTACATCAAAATCGGAAGGAACGATCTTCATAATCCCACCAACAAAGTCATCAGAGTTGATGTCTGAAGACATTCTTTGAGCAACATCTTGTTCCTGCCATTCCATGTTGTTGTTGCCTGTGAGATCCTCCATCAACGTGGCTGTTTGTTGGCTCTCAAGCAATCCAGAAGTTCCCGGAAGATGCGAATGCTCATTAGCACCATGTATTTCCTCAACCGTTTCTTCAAATTGACTAAAATGGAGTAAAAATTTTAGTCTCATTCCCATTTTCCATTGTTAAAAGAGAAATCAACAGCAAGCATAACTCTTGCGGAAATGGTACCTCACTAGATACACGTCTATTGGCCCCATTGTGCTTCTAAGAATTATTCTATATCTTCTTTGAGGATAATCACCCGCCTGACAACAAAACAATCAGAAATAAATTGGAACATAGTTACCATAGGAGCTGCTATCAACGTGAATTCCATCGTCCTTTTGGCTTCAAATGCCCTTCAGGTTACCTCATCAGGATCCGGCACTTCAAGCGTTGTTCCATGCGGCGCCCTAATAGCTATCAGCGTCTCGTTCTTAACATAGGCATCCGAGACATTAGATAAATCAATTTTCCCATTAAAAGAAATCCAAACAATAGTGGACGAGCATTTACTGATAGGAGACTAACCTGGAAACTCGGTATGCTCTTAATGTCCTCTTCGGTGACAAACAGAAACCTAGAATGCTGAGAGTCAGAATATATAGGTATGCTGCCAAACTTGGCCGCGATAGAAGCTTACCTTTTGTTATTTTCATCCTCACTCAAGCCTGTTAATCTTTCTTGCATTTCCCTGCAACAGGATAGGTTCTTCAGCAAGCTACAAATGTAGCAGAAAACAAAAGCGAGATTATCTAAGAGAATACCTAATTCTCTGATCTAATTCTGCTTCTTCAGTTGTAAGGTTTTGTATTTCTTCCTGTACATGGAAAAAGTTTGTAACAAAAAACTTGTATAGGAACAATCATTGGGAATATGTAGAACAACACTGGCAGAAATGGCGTAGCCAAAGTACAAGCAAAAAAGGAGGAATAGAAACCACAGAAAAGTGCCAGCAACCAATCTAACCAGTTGTTTAACATTAATGTAATCGGAACAGTTAACAAGCACAAGCTCACCATGTACATGGGCTAGTAAGTGGGCGGCGGATAAACTTGAAAATTTTAAATAACTGGAGGGCGAGTCCTAGATACTCGTGTTTATTGTAGCTTTGTCAGGTTACCTCTATCTATCCAAATCACCCCTAAGGCATTTAGGTCAGAAAAAGGTGAAACAATAACCAAACTAATTAACAAAAATACCAATTGCTGTGGACTAACAAAAAAATGTGAAAATAGTGACAATGCATAACATAGCATACAGTAGAACATCTCATTTGTGGGTCAGGTAACACACAGTCTCCCTACCTGTAAGTTGGCTATACTTTCGGCTGTTTCTCCTGGCCTTGAGACATCGAGTCCTCTAGCATATACAATAGAATGTCTTAGTTACTCCCAACATGAGGAAGAACCACAGTCAAAGGGAAATCCAAGACGTGATACGCAATCGATATGCTTGCTTACTTCCATTGAATTCTGTTCTTAAGCGTCTTTTCTATCAGACCAATTCCTTCTAACACGTTTGTTATATCATATATCCGTCTCTTTTGTACCTGCATTAACAGAGGCAGGTAATTGAGGCTTGAGGCAGAAACTTTTACATCAATGTGATAACTAAAAGGCTGATGTGTCACCTGCAAAGTGTCAGCGGCTTTATTTAGGTCGAGAATGCCATCTTCTGCTTGTTTTATTAAATTGATAAATTTCTTTGTCAAGAGACCTGAAACCAACCAGATTAGACCATTCTAAAGCCAGTCCTTTATGGCTTTCTTCAAATAAGTTTCGGAAATAAACAATTACCCAGCGAACTGTCATATCGACAAGTACCACCCTGGGCAAAGTTATCGCCAGGAGAACCTGCCCACAAAAACAATCCTTCTCACAATCGCAACAGTTCATGATTCTCTCTTTCAAGTAATTGTTAGTGAAAGATACACAAACACAATGCTCTTTAAATCCATAAATAAAAATCAATTCAGATGTATCATATATGCAGAAAGAAAGCGTATTTTGGTTTGGAACATTCCGCCAAACTCACCTGTATTAGAACCTGAAGCTTGCATTCCTGATTTATTGGACTTTGCGGACCTGGAAGATTTGTTTGCCTTCCCCCCTTTTGACGAAACAGGTGTCTGGAGAGAGCTATTGACCATGTCGGCGTATTGAGCGCCAGTGGCCAATTCATTAGATTCAGGTTTTCGGTTTGTGTTATCTGTCTTCCGCTTAAGCTGCTGAAGGCACCAGAATTTTACAGCTTAGTATTTGAAAGAGGAAAAATGAAATCTTGGCCGATTAATAACAGAAGCACGCAATTTAGGAAAAAGTATCAACAATCACGAGGATGTATATTCAGGATAGTCTTAAATACAATAATACTGCTGCAGTTTAACCTAATAGGTAATATATCCTCATGGAAACAGAAAAAATAAATTTTCCCTTACGGCCTTCCCTAATTTAAGATTAGAAGACAAACAGCACAAAATAGCATTTCTTCACATTGACAAGATGTTCCTCGCATAAAAAAGGTGAGAACAGGAGCAACATTTAATCAGCTCAATGTGTTGTTATCCAATGTGTAGTACTCTCCCAACTAGAAAATGGAGGGAGAGACACCTGCTGCAAAAACTATCTATACTGCACCTTTACTACTGAAGCGAAGATCCTTCTAACATGAAAATAGTAACTCAAAGGAGAACCTACAGAAATATAGGCTGAGTATACGGCTACCTCATATTCTTATACTGATACCTTATATTCCACTATGTATAACCTTTTTCCATGAGTAAACCTAGAGAAAATCTATTCTTGGCTGACTAACAACCTCCAAGAATGCATCATTCCGAAGCTACGGGTAAATCAAACGGTTTCTAGAAACCCGTTTCTAGTAACCATAGGAGATGTCCAAGACTAAAATGAAAATAGTCACAACTACTATTTGAAAGAGAAGAAATCGAGGCTTTACAAATTTACCGGAATTTTACAACTCACTATTTGAAAGAGAATCCATCAAGAGCCAGGATTTTACAGCTTATTCTTTCAACGGGAAGAACTTGGCTCACTTAGAACCAACAAAACAACGTATTTCGCTGGGTTTTCAGAAATTTGTTTCTAGTAACCATAGGAAATGTCCAGGACTCAGACAACGAAGAGAACACAAGGGAACTCAGTTAGAATTGGCAACTAAATTGGCATCTGCATCATGGACTAGAATTAATAATTTGACATAAAAACTCCACGCTGTCCGCAGTATATATGATGTGATCCTATAAGCCTCACACTGACACTGATAATGCCGACCAAGTAATGCAAGCTTGCCAAAAGCCATAAATTTTGAAACAGACATACCAAACTATGAAAGGAAATTAACTAAATCCAAACATGAAGTCGCCAAACTCATCTAAATATCTTAGAATAGCTCAATCTACTCTAACGAATGAAAACAGGATGAACCAAAACCCTAGGCCAACAACTAAAATCAAACTCTTTGCAACCTATAGTTTGCAAATGCTAAACCACAACCTGTACTGCACTAGAGACGAATCAAAGAACCATACAAAAGGAAATCATCCGAAGCTGATCTCAGCACAATTCTCACCACAATTTCGCACTAATCCACATGCCTATCGCGATGAAATATATCGAGCCTTCAAAATTCAAACACGAAATTATACTAACAAACTTGAAAAGTTCACCAAGAAACACAGAGAGGAACTCGCCGGAGATTTAATGACGATCGCCTCAACTTCTCGATCAGCAGCTCCGCCAGGCTCCGCCGCGTCAAACCGGTGGTACTCGCCGGGAGCTACCAACGGCGGCCTCATAGAGAACACCGCAGGATGATGATGCCGCCGCGTCGGATGCGGTTGCGGCGGTTGCTGAGATTCCGACATGGAAGCGAATCTCGATCCCAAACGAGAGTTACCGAAAGAAACCGAAATTTCCCGAAGAATTGTCGAAGAAACCGGATCTCCGCCTACCAAAGATCGTAGAAATGACCGTAGAAGGCCCTGGGAGGGAAATCGTCGCCGGCAAATGGAGAATTATGGCGACGGAGTGAGCAGATCGGAAAACGAAAAAAAAAAAGCGGGAGACGAAAAGAGACGGTGGAAGGGCAAGAAAACGAGGGAATGAGTTGCGCGTTCGGTTCGGATACTGATGTGGAGGGAAGCACTCGCTCACCATTTTATTTTTCATTGGATTATCCGGTAAATTTATTCAATATATAATTATATATTATTTAAATTTAAAAATAATAAAGTAACTTCCATTTAGAATTACTTTTTTTTTTGGCCATCTGTAGCATTCTAAATCACTAGTCTGGATCTTGATACTAATTTTTATTTTTAATGCATGTCCCATTAATATATCATAAAGTTTAGCATATCCTAGAATTAGAAATTTATAAGATATTTTATTGGGCATTATATAAAAAATTTCAGTCTGATTTCATCATAATTTATTAATATTAGCATATAACTAGTAAATATTACTAGTATTTTAGCACAATTCTCTATTGGACCACGAATTACAAGGGACAGTCGCCATCCATTATGAAATTCGAAAAATGTAATAAATTTTACAATATTAACAAAAGATTGTGAAAACGTCATTTAATATGCGCAAATAAAACAATATTAGAAAAAGTGATATATCACACGACAATTGTACACAATATATATCCACACAATATATATGTATATATGAATATATATTGTTGATAGATACAAATGCAAAAGCCTTCAAAGTTCCACATTATAAACAAGAAAAGAAAACTCAAACCTTGTACAAAAGTACACACACTATTATTAGAACACACTCACACTCACATGACAATTCATCACTTGAACAGATGGGAAAGATCAGGATCATCCAAGTCCACATCCAGCAACCCATTCAAGCTCATGTACTCAATGTACCTTTCGGGCGGAGCGATGGCCCGAGGATTCTTGGGCGTGAACCCGTGTGCCCTCTCGAGATCCCTTACGAGCCAACGCATGTAAGCTCGGTCCAATGGAGGTACTATCTTCAAGAATATCACTTCCCGTTCTTCCTTCACTGTCGTCACCTTGTTTCCCATCGCGAAAAAAGATGACCTGCATATCGTACATAGAGATCGACAAGAAATGAGTAACGAGCAGTAAACAAGCGATAATGGCAAACCAAACATCGTGTTGTTCCGGTCAAGTTTCCGATCAAATTATAAGGTGTAGAATCGACAACTCCGAAGATTTTGAAATTACGTTACACATCTTGAAAGGCAAAACAACCAACACCGAGTTCTCGAAGACCCAGCACAACTTCTCCAACAGGAAGTAGAAGGATTGCATCATCATTAGTTTCATTAGACCATGTTATTTCCAAACTCAACCTACCCGTATCAATGGAATCATTGTGCAGAAAATTCCACAAACAAGTACACTGCAGAAAGATTATGACCAAATTGAAGCAAAGAATCCAACATAACTGTGATGAATGTGATGTCTTGTCGTCACAATCAGCATCCAAGTAACTTCCTTTTCAATACACCTTGTTGAAGCTAAACTAAAACTCGACGATTAGAGAAAACCCATCTTCTGAAAAACCCTAATTCCTCGAAATTAAACCGCAAACTCAGGAACAATCACGTAATAACCAACCCAATGACCAATCACTGGCAATCGAACCGGAAAAATCACTTTCATCAGCAAGGAGATCAATACATCTCATAAGATTTCAGCAAGAGAATGAATGCACATCCTTAGCAGCTCAACAGATAACCCATGGATTCAGACTTAGCTGAGCTTTGCTTTCCCGGGAACCAAACAGAAAAATTAGGGTTTGAACCGTCCGATCACTGAAAATCACAAACCATGAGATTTCTCACCTGAGGATAACACCTTCGTAGCTGCCAGATAGTGTCCAATGCGACTGCAGCCGTCGCTTCGAAGTTCGAACACGGCGTAGTCCTCTCAAAATAAAACGGCGTCGTTGAATGAGTCGAGCCCATTGACAGAAGCCCTTTTCGTGGCGTTTTGGGTTTATCCATGGGCCAAAAAACCGGAGCGAAAAAGGATAAACCATACCGGATAGCTTACCGAACTTAACCGGATTATTGGACTGTAAACCGGTAAGCGAACCAAATGAAGCACAAAAAGCAGTCTATTGCGACTACCGAATGGTTTATGGTGCCTAGTAAACATCTTAAATAACATAATTGCGGTTTATTTATATACAATTATGCTAATCCTGTTAATAAATACTATTATTCAACCGAATCTATACCTTTTGCATACTTCAAGATTGATATATCCATAATCTATATTCACTGTTGGTTTTTTTTTTAATAATTTTTATGTATTTTGTGATATTTTTCTCTCATTTTTATTTAATTTTGGGCAAAAGCCATGTGACAACAAAAGACAATTTCAGTTACAAAAAGGCGAAGAGTGAAATGATATCAAACGTCACAAAACCAACACTGCCACGACGTAACGTAGCAAGTGAGGAGAGTTGGTGGCACGTTGGGCCTATTGGCATATATAAGTTATCATTTTATTTTTTCCTTCAAGAATCTGCAAAAACCACACCTTTTATAAAAGTTCAGTCGAAAAAAGGCACTTTTTATATTTTCCTCTTATTTTATTTTTCACCGTCATCATTTCCTTTTCTTATTCCAAATTAGTATTATTGCTTTGAATTTTTTTTTTTTAAAAAAAATTGTTACCTTCAACCAAAAAAAAAATCAACATAGTGTTGTGGAGGTGTCACCTATATGTCATTTACCATGATTTCGACCCCTCACGTGTATAGGGTCGTCATATTCTACATAATATATATATATATATAGATATATAATTCTTATTATGTTATCTAATTTCCCTTTGTGGACACAATTTCGAAAGAACAAACTATGCCGCCGCTCAAGAATCACTAAACCTATGTTATTGTGTTATCCCCAAGGGCCCAATATGGAGCAAATCTGCGTTGAAAAATTCATAATCATTTGGTAAGTAGAGTAGCGGTTGGTTATAGAAAAAAAAAATTAATAATAAAATTCAAAATTAATCCGAAATAAGATGGATAAAAAATATCTTCTTCTTTTTCTTTTTTTTTTTTGTATTTGAACACTAAATAGATGGAAATCGGATTTTTAAAATGAAATACCTATAAAATCGGATTCAGAATTAAATTTTACTATTTCCGAATACATTAGGAAATTCCATTTACTTTAACTTTTACTCTTATAGTTGTAATTAAACAAATTTTTGGAATAACCATTAAAAACTAGGATCAAAGTCCATCACTCTTATATGTAATCCTCTGCCTCTTCTTGTCCTATTTTTCCGAACTCTTGATTGCAGACACGTGGCCTTCCTCTATTCGCCAATACCCGATCATTTGGATCAATATCTAAATTCTAGATATTAATAGACAACGAATTATAAAAATAAGGTGACCGAATCTAAACCATCTGATTTTAAACAATCCCAAATATTAATTATATAATCGGTTCTATATAGATCTAATCTAAATACGTGATGGACTTATTATCTTATATTCAAAAATATACGTGACCCCCCATATATATATGCTTGAATTCAAACCCTAACTAATCCTTGTGTAAAAAATGAATTTGAAAAATTATCAGAAGTTGGTTCACCACTGTAAACATGTCAGCCATAATCTCAAAAAAAATATCTCAATTTTAACAAAATAAAACTAATTTTATTTTTATTAAATAAAATTTAAATTTTATTTTTCAATAAAAAATAAATCCAAATTTTATAATCGTTATCATTTTAAATCTAAATGTTGACGTAGTTAATCGATATCTTATATAACAAATCAATACTTTGACCATATTTTTCACGTTATTATCCACATATCTCGATATCGGTATATTGCGTCAGTTAGGGGTGAACATTTCGGAAAACGGTTCGGATTCGTGATGGAAATGTATCGGTTCAGATTTTCGGTTTTACAAAAATAGTTATCAATCGGTTTTTATATTATGTTTGGTTTGGTTTCGGTTTCGGTTCGATTTGGTTCCGATTTTTATTTAAAAAAAGATAGATTTTCTTTTTAAAAAAATCAGTTTTTCAGATTTTTTTTAAAATTCGCTTCGGTTCTGGAAAATTCGGTTTTCTAAAAACAATACCGTTCGAGAATTTAGAATGATTCAAATAAAAAAAATACCGTATTTTTTGTTTCGGTCACCGAACCGAAATACACATCCCTAATGAATTTAAAAATGATAATTGTTATAAAGTTTAAATTTATTTATAATTTAATAATCAAGTTGAGGTTTTATTTAATAAAAAATAAAGTTTAGATTTTACTGATGAAAAATAAAGTTTAGGTTTTATTTTATGAATATTGATTTTTTTTTTAATTTTTTTTATAAATCCCTTTAAACCAACAAGGAAAACTATAGGATACGTAATTTTTATATTTCATATATTGGATCACCTCATATCAATATCTGAATTATCAAAATGGAATGTTTCCAGGTCCTAATGTCTTTCAATCTAAAGAATTTTTACGTTACGGTACTATATTATATTTATATACAGTATAACATGGGTAAGAAACGACAGATTTCATGGATCTCAAAGCTTATACTTAAAAAAAAAAAGAATAAACTAACTTTACTATAGAAAATCCCACTGATTTTTTTTTTTTGGAAACCAAAGTCTTAAAAGTTAGAAATTTCGTTGACCCAAGACATTAAAAAAACTGCCACTTTTAATAAAATGAAAAAAAAAACCACAGCAAAACTGGTTGTGATAATATAAGATGGTGTCATATCCCAAAGAAACACGATCCAAAAAATATGCAAAAGTCTTATCTTTTCAAACAATTAATTTTCTCTAATTCCTAGGAACCTCTTGTGGGTTAGTAATTAATGTAATAATGATGAGCATTAATATGAAATGAATTTATATAAATACGTACATGTTTGTGGACAGAGTCACACAACGTAGGCTTGTGTTACATTAATTTTCCAAAATTTGAAATATATTAGTTATAAATGGGTATTAATATATTCTAAAAAATATTAAAAAATGTGCATATATTAACAAAAAACGTTGACAATAAAATATATTTTATAATATTAATTTATTATTACAAATAGTTTAAAATAATCTTATAATACATGAATAACATATTTTTATATATATAATATTTATCTCCATAGGTAATTTAAATTTTAAATATAATATTTTTAAAATAAAATATTTTAAAAACATTAGATTAGATAACGAAAATCAGATATGGACTTAAATAAATGGATTTATAGACTTATAATATAAGGAGGAAAAAAACCCTGTTTTTCAATTTCAACATCATTATCTCCTTAAAAAAACAAAATACATTGCTTAACACCTTAATCACCTAAACCAACAACAAAATCAATAAAAATAAACAAAAAAGGCCCTATTTTATCACGTCGTCATACATCTACGGCGCATCTCTGGAGGAGCTGATACTTGACGACGGCGGCGGCGGAGGAGGAGGAGCTGCCTCCGGCGGCGAAGGTAATGTAAGCAGGGCAGTTGACGTGGAGGCGATATCGGCCGGAGATCCAAGTGCCCACCTTCCATCTCACCCATCCGTCGATCTTTACGTTCAGTAGTATCATTCCCGTGTTAAGGTCTTGCATCATCGCCGCCGTCAGGTACGGCGCCACCGGTACGGTTGTTCCGTACAGAAACGGCGACCACACCGTCATGTCTAAGTGTCCCTGGTACGTCGCCGGCAAAATCGTCGCCAACGTCACCTGCCACACATACACACACACGTATCATATATATTACTTAATAGTGTCTTTATTGTATTCTATATATGTTAGATTATTCAATACAAAATATAAAATATTATTTCATAATTCTTTTCATCATATTATAAATTGTATATCATTAAAAAAAAAGAGTAATATTCTTCCTTTAACTAATTTAGGGTGTTCTAAAACTCTAATATCAAAAATAAACTCTTATTTAAAAAAAACGAAAATAATGGAAATAACTCATGTTATTTAATCATATTATCGAGAAATATGAAAAGTTACGGTAATTTATTATGGAAATATATTCATTATATTATTCAATACATATGCATATCTCTCTATCTACATCCTTAATCATTTACGAATAATATCTTCATTTAAAAGAAAATAATGGGGCAGAAGAAAACAAAGATGATATCAAACGTAAACGCAAACGCGAAATGAATCTCCTTAATTAGTTCTGAATTTTTTATATCGTAAAAGTATCTACACCTACCTCGTTAGTTCATTACTTATAATATCTTCATTCCAATAAAACCACCAAAGTCAAGAGCCTAACTATGCCTTTTAACAAGGCGAACAAAGACGAATGGTATATCAAAACGCAAAACGCAAACGTGACGAACCTGCTGGTTTCGGTAGGAGGCGTAGATGTCGAGATGGTCGTAGAAGATTCCGATCTTGTCGTTGGGATTACGTGAGGAAACGGTGACTTGGAGATTAGAGGTGAGGAAATTTGGCTGGGAAACGTTAAACGCGTAGATGGTGGCGTCTTGGAGGACGAAACGCGGACCGTGCGGGTGAAGAATGGCCCACACGAGGAATATAACCACTGCGGCCGCCACTAGGAGTCCGAGCACCGCCGCTCCTATGCGCCGCCTCGCTCTCTCCTCCTCGTCCTGGTGGTAATCGCACTCCTTCTCCGTCATTGCTGCCTGCGTTTGCGTTTAGTGTTTGGCGTTTGGCCGCGGAATGAGGGAGTTTGGTTGGGTGGAGTCTGAGGGGTACTATGGAGAATGGACGGGATTATATATAAACTTCTGAAGTGGAGGTTGAATATATATACACACATCTATTATTATATATTATGTCTCTATATGGAATTTAGAGACACTATTTATATTTGTTTCTGTTATGATTTTTTTTATGACATTTTTTCAACTTTATCTGAAATTCAGGAAAATAAGATTCTGTTTACTACTCATTTTAATCTCTCTCTCTCTCTCACAAACATATATATATGTATATATTTTTTATGACCTTTTTGTTATATGTATATATTATTTAGAGATACTCTTTTATAAATAGTGTTGATGAATTTTTTGCTACCTTTTTTTTTAACTTTATCTGAAATTGAGGAAAACAAGATTCTGTTTCCTTTCCATTTTTAACCTTAAATATATAATATTTAGAGACACTTTTTTATATGTATTTCTGTTATACGTTCGTGTTAATGATTTTTTTTCCAACTTTATCTGAAATTCAGGAAAATAAGAATATGTTTCCAATTCATTTTTAATCATATATATATA